AAAAGAAATTAAAAGAACTTATGGGACAGTAACAAGGCATGCAGGATATGGTGAGTTTCCATGTCCACCTGACAAAGGAATGAGAAACAGAGAGAACAGAAGTACAGCGAAACATGAAGTACACGCAGAATAAATCCAGCCGGGGAAAATAAAGTAACAATAGTAGGAAAAGGCCTGGTGGATTGAAAGCACAGATAAAGATAACAATGAAGGAAAGAGACACAGAGATGACGTGACAGACATTACGATCCAGCCAGCAATATTTTGCTCTTAAGAATTACTGACAAAGAACACACGTAAGAGGTATGACTGGGAAACACAGCACAGGAGTAGAAGCAAGAAAGCATGTGAAGGTAAATGGAGTTTTCTAGATTATTGTACTGTGCAAAGACGACAGTACACAGACACCACGATTTTCACCAGCTACCTCTAGCACAACTGCTAGAGACACACAAAGATCAGCTAAGCCTGTCGTAAGGGCACCCCTCCTCCCTCGCTGTAGCATTACCGCAGACAGCACCCTGGCAGAACTACACTGCTCCCTAATCCTCAGCAGCACAGATGACTGCACCACGGTCCTTTCCACAGGAATCAAGCCCCTGCCCAAAGGCAAAGGCAGTCGCAGTGATTTCCTGTAACCCCAAATTAATCTGAACCACATCATATATCTGTAATGCATATAAAAAGTCAACTCTGCTTCTAAATTACCTGCTCTGGAAGGGATTCTGATCAGACTCACATGGACTAAAGAGTAATGCTAATGATTCACATCCACTGAGCTGTGCTCCCAGAAAAGCACTGCTTGTCTTAATTCCCCTTTCCAAATTAATTTTAGTGTATGAAATACAGAACATCTTCAAGCCTGCAAGAATTATATAGGATGTATCAAAATTACTATTTTGATTGGCTACCTAAGCTTTCCAAAAGTCAGTTTCTATTTATAACTTTATTTGTATTTGAATCTCACACTTATGTTAAAATTAATTTTGAGGTCAATGTCATTCTTTGAGAAAAACTGAACAGATAACACTCAACCATTTTTGAGGAACATATCTGCTTTAAATCTCACTGTTTATTCTATTCCCTGGGGAATTTATCTACCCTTGACCATAGCACTTTAGTAAGACTGTTCATCTGGAAGAAAGGTGAGATTTTCACCATCATCATGCTGCCAAATTTGAAAGGACAGCCAGCACCATCACCACCCCCAAAATGTGTTGTGAACCAAAGGCAGGTTCATGAAAGTGCCAAAACAAAAGCAAAAGCATATGCAAGCTGGTGTCTTTTAGTTGTCTACTCTATGTCTACAAAATAAGTAAAATATACATTGCATTAATTGAAGAAAGATTCCCCAGTGCAAGAAATGGCCTATCAAGATACTTCAATATGGAAGTTCAGTTAATTTTTACTGAACATTAATTCATTTTTAAAAGCAAACTTACTTTTATCATATGTTTATGTTCATTGCTATGGATATGGGAGCAACGAAATTTTAGTGAAAAAGTAGCTTCAGAGGAAACCAAGAAGTTTAGAACTGCATATGCCAGGAGTCAAATAATTTCAAATTCATCCAGTAGTCTCCATGAACTCCTAGTATTGCAATACAGAAGACTCAAAAAGATCGATTACGTCAGCAATTCATCTGAATGAACACAGCTCTGAACTGAAGTGTTTGCCATGAGTTCGTACCTTAAAAAATACTCTTTCAACAAAAATAAACAATGATTAAAGATGATCATATCACAAACGGACTGAAAAATAGCAGGACACATTTAATCAAGAACTCAGTGTAAGTTATTTTGGTATTCCTGGGCATAAATGTACCTCTGTGATAGGGGCATTATCAAAAACCAGAGCTAAAACTCTAGAATAACTGAACAATTTTGTAGGATAAGAATCTATCTTAATCTATATAGGCTTTTCGTCTTCAAGTCTTTGTGAAAATTACCTACTAATTTATATAATTGTTGGCAAAGTTCTGTATAGTGGTACAGTCAAGACAGTGTAGTATACACATGCATGTCCTACATGTGCTAAACCAACAGGCTCAAGCATAATTATCAGGTTCTAGTAGCCAAAAATTCCTAACAAATTAATACTTGGATTTTCTCTTTGGATTCCTGTTAAACCTGAATTCTTGAGAACAGTTTTGCCAGAACATGAGAACAACAGAAAGTTATCAATTATTCAGGGTATCAAACCTACTCAAGCAGCAAAAGTCTACAGCATTCAAGCAGCAAAAGTCTACAGCATAAAAGCTCTGAAAAACACTACAAGAAAATGAAATTCTCCTTGAGTTAAAGAAGAAGTAGGCTGTATCTTTTAAACTGATGGTCCTGAGGTCTATCCCCCATGCTTCACATACTTGCTTACACTGATGTTGGAAGCTACTGCTTGCAGCTGTTTCTCAGATGAGCCTAGGACATTTCAAAGTGAGTTAACAAGGTAGTAGTATGCAGGATAAACTTGCAAGTGTTAAGCTGTATTAGAGCGCAAGGAACACGAGACCTACCTAGTAGAGTATACACCAAGAACTTCCATCTCATTAAAGGAGAACCTCAAGTAACCAGTGTTTTCTAAAGCTGAAAAATACCAGGCCATTCCTAGCTTAAGACTAAATCCTTCAGCAGCAGAGCACATTACAATGAAAATCATCAACTCCTACCTGGATAGAAGTCTGCTTCAGTACTGGCTGATAGGGAGTAAGAAATAGCCTGATATCTCACCCTGTTCTACTAGGCCAGTGAACACTCCTCTTTATCAGGAGATAAAATGTAGTGATAGGGCTAGATGTAATGGTTTTAGACTGAAAGAGATTTACATTAGATATTAGGAAAAAAAAATTTTACTGTAAGGGTGGTGAGACACTGGAACAGGTTGCCCAGAGAAGTTGTTGATGCCCCCTCCCTGGAAGTGCTCAAGGCCAGGCTGGATGGGGCTGATCTAGTTCAAGGTGACCCTGCCCATAGCAGGGGGGTTGGAACTAGGTGATCTTTAAGGTCCCTTCCAACCCAAACCATTCTATTACAACAGCCAGAGGCAACCCATTCCTTGTCCCAAGAGCAATCCCTCTTGTACAGATAATTAACCTGTTGGTAGCAACACCAAGAACCAGGCATCTACTTCTCCCTCCTTACTTCTTCGCCTTGGCACTTGTTGAGATCCTTTTCTAACCTCAATTCACTGAACGGACAGAGAAACAACCTAGACAAAAAAAAAAAAAGGAAAAAAACACAAAAAAAAACAACCCACAAACCCAAAGGCTTTCAGCCATCGCAGATAACTACTAGGACTGCAAGCATGGCCTCAGCAGTTCCCACATCCTTACACTCGCAGGTTAAAGCACCTGAGAGAACCACTTCCTAGCCATCCTTCCTCCTGTCATTTCGTGTGGCCCGAGTGTAGTCTCATAGTCTGCTGGCTATAGTATGAAAGGGCTGTAAAGGAGTGAAAGGCCCCCCGTGTCCTACCCAGCTGTTCCAGTGACAAAACCAAGCCTTACTTCCTGATCACTTCAGTATAGCCTAAATGAGCAATGTCAATGCAGAGAGCTGTCCTGGGTCCACCTTCCACCAGCACAGCCTTGAATACGTACTAGGGCTCTGGCAGTCACGCAAAAAGCCAGATCAGAGAACTGATTTTGTCAAAAACTTAACACATTTTAATTTTTTTTTGCAGGTCAGCTTTCAGCCAGATCATACAGATGTAAAGAGCTGAAGGCTGGCATAAGGAAGGCAAAGAAGAATACACTAGGCTCAGAGAAGGTGGGTTCAGCTCCCTCTATAGCAGCTCAATGCTGGTGCCTACAGAGACACTTCCTGACCTGATCAGCCACGGAAGTCCTTCCTCATGCCCCCAGGCTATAGCACAAAGTCACAGACCATTTTCAGAAGTATAACGTAAATACCCGCTTTGTTCAGGCACGCAGCTTAAACTGACGCCTAACCATCTGCTTCCAAAACTACCTCTGTTTTGTTATTCACAGTAACTAAGAAGGTTTCTCTGTATGTTCACCTGAAAAATCAAGATGACAGTGCTGTGAAATATTCTATTAAGCAGACAGCATTTCTCATGTATGTTTTGGCTTGTTATACAGTTTTGAGCTTGATGTTTGTAAACAAAAACAAAACTGACACAAACAAAGGATTTTCTCTCTTTTTTTTTCATGGCGTAACTGCTGGAACCATCCCATATTTGGAAACGACAGCTCCAGAAAGTTAGTGTTTCCATCAACCTGGACCTCCATAGGAAGCTGATAGGTTGTAAAGTCCTGCTCCTGAGTAAGAGATCCAAGATAGAAATTACTTTATCAGCCTCCTGAGCTAGCACACAGCACACCAAGGGACATGTCAGCACTGAAGCAAAGAGACTGGAAAACCTGCTAGTATTACCGCTTTCTTTTAATAAATAGTCTCATCAACACTGATGTTGAAAAGGCTACAGGAAAAACAAGAGAAAACTCCCCAAGAAAACCAAAGTGAAGTGAAATGGCATGTCTAAAAGCTTAAAATTTCATCAGACAACCTACCAAACTAACCAGTTACAAAAAGCATCAGACAACCAAAAAATGTTAGACAGACATTCAGAAAACGTCCCAAACAATACATGCTATCATTAAGTAAACTGGCAAATTTTTGGAATTCTAAACAAGAAAATACTTTAAGTATGTGACGTTATGATCCCTTATAAAAAGTAAGAGTTTTCAAAACAACAAAATGTATTTGATTCAACATTAGAAATACTTACAACTACTCCACTCTTGGTGACAGTTTCCCGGTATGTAAAATTGCACACTGCCCAGGCTAGGTAATACGTGGACATGAGAGGGGTCTGTGAAAAGTGATCTGTGACCCATCCATCTTCTTCAAAAACAGAAGTTTCAACTGGCATGTTGGACAAAGATAAGTAAGTTGCTTGATGCCTGATGCTGATTTTGAAAGTGGCCTTGTAGATGGGCTCGTCAAAGCAAGGAAAGGCTTTTCTGGCATGAGTAGGAGAAAACTGCGTCACACCAAGAAACCTAGAAAAGAAGCAAACAAAAAAAACAACAAAGCAATTACTAACTGTGCACAGCGCTTGATTCATGCATGTACCAAGTATGACACTGCTTGACTATTGTACTTTAAGGGGGAGGAAAAACAAACTGTACAAAGCATACAGTGTTAAAGCAGTGAACACTGCTTTATCACTTTTTCACTACCTGTACAACACAATTGATATAAAGTACCAGCCTACAAATTTCCCACAAATTTGCAGATGCCACACTGATGTTAAAGAAAGAATCGCTCGCCTTGTATCAAACTTCAGGTTCTAGCAGTTTTGTTCATCAATATGTGAAGAAAAGTTAGCCAATATTGGTTACACAATGCAAAACAAGCACAGCCCTCAGTTCAAACCGGGATTTAACAGCCTTCAGGGAGACACCAGCAGGGCACTTTGCCTTTCCTTGGGCATGAGAACTTATGGTCGCATAGTGCACTCAGGAACTCACTGATTTCCACTGCTGATTCCTCCTGTACTGACTGCATGTAGATCTGAGACACGCTACTATACAGCACTGCTGTGACTTTGTAAATCTAAAAAACCATTCTGTGAGCTTTGCAGAATTACAATAATAAGCAAACGATTAAACAAGCAGAGAGTAGTTCACCATTCTTCTACATAAGCTTTGCTTTTCTGGTGTATTTTATACAGAACGAATCAATGTTCTCAGCTAACTGGTCAAATTATGAAAAGATCTCTGAAGGAGGAAAATCTCTGTTATTCCTCCAGGGGAAGAAGATGGGTGGATAGATTTGATGTAATGAAAATGGTGGCACCTATTATTAATCAGCCCATAAACATTACCCTGCAATACAATACTCTCTAACACCAAGGGAGCAAAAAAAAAATAGGTAGCCCATAAGAAAAATAAAGTATCTAATTAACTTTTTCTAAAACTTCTTGGGTTTCATACATATTTTGGAGCATTATTTTATAAAAAACAACAAAGAAATATACTTATTGAAATGTTACACTTTTATCTTGCTATAGTGCCTTCACACCTGATGGAACTAGATACATGTTTTCCAGTGAAATTATCATCTCTTTCAAATAAGGCTAATTTTTTAAAAACTTGAAAAACTTTCCACCACAGAACCAGTTGCCCCTGGCCCTTTGTCTAAAATAAAAAGCCTTATTTGGCTAGCAATTATTGAAGGAATTCAGCATATTGCATTTTTCGTGTCTTATTATAAAACAAGGATTAAGAAAATCATAGTTCTGCATAAGGTTGCTAAATGTAAGGTAGAAAGTTGGTCCCGGTATTCCACTGTTAATCCAACAAAATTCCATATTATCAGTGGATTTGCACTAGTGCAACAAAGCCAAATCAGTCAATTAAATGAAGAAAAGCAATTTACTTTATATGCAAAGTATTTCCTGATGCAAAATGGATCATTCCGCATTCTAGGCACACTCTAAACAGCGACAGACATCAACAGAAGCTTCAAGTGAGCATGGAAAACTGTACTGGCCTGTTATTAATAAAGCAAGAATGATGAACTTCCCTCTGCAATTAACAATTTTAATGAGCTAAGACACACATGTAAATGCATACTTAGGGAATACTGTATATATTCTGACACTCTCTAAGTAAGGAAGCTTTCCCCACACACACACCCCCTTCATAGAGATCCTACTAGTAGTCTTTTAATATTTGTTACGTTTTAGGCCATTGAAAAAATCCCTTCACCAGACTAACAGAACCTGATAAACTCTGCATCTTCTGCATTCTCACAGACAGATAGATATATCTGCATACACGTAATGGGGCAAACACTGGGCCATCAATATTTCATACTAAAAATACATCAACTACCAATAAGAGTGATATTTATAACATGTGCATTACTATCAAACATCGATTTGCTTGTTGTGCCATAAAGCAAAACAAACAAAAAAGTTAAAAACTGCTTCCCAAAGACTAAACCCTTACACATTTAAAACAAAAAAAAAAAAAAAACCAAACCAAAAAACACTGTCTATGTTTATCTATTTCCCTCTGTGTTAGGAGGAAAAACCAAGCAAAACTTCTCTAGCATGCCAAAAGTGAAGAGCAGGTTGAGTACTTCATCCATCTCCCTACACACCTCTCTGGGCACTGACGTTTTTATCTTCAAGTCCCAAAAAATATCACCATAAAAAGTTGTACTTCTGGGAATGACAGCCTTGCAGCCTGTCTTCTCAGCATACCCACGGCAGTAATTTGCAGGTGTTTTAATTCCACCTCATCTATTAAAGGAAGACATGTGTTTCCTCAACAACCTATCTATTTTGACATCTTAGTTGTTATAAGATGGAAGAACATGTCTGTTTGTTTTGTCTGCAAAATGTAAGATTTTTTTTTTCCTTTTCATTTATGCCAAAGTTTGGTGTTCATTTAAATTATGCGTGCATATTCTTATGGTACTCTATAGCAGCCCTGTATTAAATGTTTGTTGATTACTGCCAGTAAATTCTGGCACATAATGCAAAGGAAGTTTGTAGCGTATCACTTGCATTTTACATTTCAATTAAAGTAGGAAAAATTTCAGTAGAAAATAAATACTTCTACGCAACTATCAACATTTCAGGCTGATTTATGACTTTCACCTGTGAAGACCACAGAAAATTAAGTAACTGCATGGAAAAAAAAATTATAGAGTGAAGGCATTACTATGTTTGTGAAGCCTCACAGTTAGCCAGTTATTCACTCTTCAGGTACAACAGAAGTGAAAAATGATGGTTTAGACCCTTTTATAGCAACCACTGATACAGCTACAGCTGTATTTTAATCAAATATAAAGATGTCAAAAAGTTAAAGTCCTGCTGGAACATCAAGGTCTCTCAGAGCATGACAGAAGCCTGTCTATCTATCATAGTAGAAGCTGTCCATGTTTAAGGACTAAAAATGGTTATATGTATTACATTAAAAATGGGTTACAGTTACATGTATTACATTAAAAACAGGTTATTCATCAAAACGCAAATCACTACTCTGCAAGAGCACACTCTGAACAACGAAGTTCCCTGCTTTAGAATGTGTAGTATTTACTTTATACTATAGTCAGTCGTTCAGCCTGTGAGAGTTGAAAAGGAAAAGCAGTACTTCTATTAAACACCTGGAACTATAACCACGCACTGATTACATTTTTTAAAACAACATTTTACTGAAAGAAATAAAACTGAGCTGGTGTAAAGAAAAAAATGCCACTGATTTCAATGTAACAATGCCACCTTACACAAAGTAAGGATCTCACCCAATAAGACAATATTCAAGTGTATTAAAAACAAAGCAAACTGGTATCTGAAAAGTTACACAAAGAGTACTGGGAAACGCATTTTACCATTGCCTTCCACCCCATGTCTTAAGCTATCTTGGTGATTCAAAAAGTGAATAGGCCTTTTTTTGTTGTTTTTTAAATCGTAACTGGGACATCTGTATTAAGTGTAATACAGTAACTTTGGAGAAATGCCACTGCAACACCTATTTGACAGTTCAATTATTCCTACGTAAATTCTAAATACACAAGAATAATAACTGCTTAAATAATTTCTTGGATTTGTCAAGTGAATTATACCCCCTGCTGTAAACAGTATTTTGTTTTCTCATTTGCCCATTTCCACACAGGTCCGTAAGAACCCCCGATTATCCCAGTCATTCACTCCTCAGTGATAAAAAGCATTTTCTCTCTCTCTTTTCCTACAACCATGCTTTTCCAAATTTCCATTTTATTTCATTGTGACAAGTTGCACAAACTTAATCTCAATCCTACTTGTGGTTCTAACAGCGGGCTGTTTCAAACTGCCAGTAATCATATTAACAAAAATGTTTTAATACAAGGGCTGTTGATTTTACTTGAGTTGGTGAGCGCTCTTTTTCTGACTTACTTTTTTTGCCCAATTCTTCCAACTATAAATTCTCCACTTCGCAGTACAACACGGCAACACTCAGAGAGACCCTGTCACTGCACGGATGTTTCAAGAAAGGACAGCTTAAAAAGAAATTAATTCTAAAATGATAAACCATGCCAGAACTATCAAGAAGCTTATGCCATCTTTTCTATTACAAACCCTGACTGTGGTTCAAAAACTACTTTTAAAAAAAAAAAAAAAAAAGCCTCTCTAAGTGCATGAAGGGGGCCTCCGAAGTGACCCTGCCTACAAGGGCCTCGACAGGGACCCAAGAACTACAATATCAGGAGTAAACACAGCTCAAGATCGAGCCTTGTTCTGCGTGAGAACGGTGGATACTGACCAGGTTTGCCCCGTCACTGGGCGTAACCCCGCCGCGATTCAGCTGCAGCAGGTGGCACAAGCGCCTTCGCGTTATCTCAGGTCACTGCCCGCCGCCTCTTTCTTCAGATAACGCAATAAAAACACAAGAGTGGGGAAGTTCCGCTCCCCTACACGCTGC